TACATGTATCAGACCTTTTTACTACAGTCCTGGATGTGTGTTGACATGCCTTGCAGATCTGGACTTGTTTCTGCACACAGGCTTCAAACTCATCACCATTTTCTTCCCTTCTATTTCTATTCTTAAATCACCAGTACTCACAGCTGCTGTATTTCATGACTACTAACTATCTTTTAATGACCAAATAAAAGGAAAAGTTATTATCTTCTAAATCTCTGCATCTGACCAGAGAAGTTTTATATGGGACATTCTAAATGTAGAATTGTCTGAATGGTTGATGGGAATTTCTGGAAAGTATCTGATGGACAGAATTTCATGATACTCCTCTACACTTTAATCCTACATAGTTATCCTGTAGTAATTAGAAGATATTTAACACAGCTGCAAGGCTGGAGGGCATAAGGAGAAAGGTGTTTTTCTAGTCTCAAATGCACAGGCATGCAGAGGTTTTCAAGATATATTAGGATGTGAACCTGTGGGTTTGAAGGCACAACTCAGAAGAGTGATGAATGGTAAAAAAGAAATAGTGTGTAGAGGAATTGAAATTATGTTAGATGGTAAAATATTTCAAAAGAGCACATCAATTTGTACTAAGCAAAAACAGAAAAAGTAACCTATGAATTCTTAAAGATATTGCTGAAAAACTGAGAGCTCAGATCCATGGAAAAGGTATTTTAAAAATCAGACATTACTCTCACTTCCACCTCACTCCTTTCCTGAAAAAAACATATGCATTATAGATCTAATTAAATTATTTTTCAGATGAAATGACAAAAAAAAGAAAAAAAGAGTAAAATTGTTTCCAATAGTTTTTTCAAAACATTTTTATTTCCAAAGAAACTTGTGAAGAATTCCCAACAAATTCAATAGTGCATAATATATGGCTGAAAAATTACTCTTATAATCTCTTCTAGATGTAATATAAAACTATAACTCAAATTTTCTTCACATTCAAAGTGAACAAACCCACAATAATGTCTCTCACAGTCACCAGTGACCTCTAAGAACTTTAATTTTAGCTCAGATGAATGAGAAATTTAATTATGGTATTTCTGAAATCAAGTAGAATGTTTTTCTCAGCGGTGTTAAGACTTACCAGTAGTGTTCAACAGATTATTTCCAAAAGTAAGGAGAAATCTTAGCTTTGAACTCAGCTGAAATTTGAATAAAGCTACTCATAGGAGTTGAATGTGAACAGGGTTATAATAAACATGGAAACTATATTCCCATAGATATCTGTTAAGACCAACATAAAAATGGATTTCAATGATTATAAAATTTAACAGTTATGCATATTACATTAAACTCATATTAATGTTAGAGACACTTCTGCTGTTGCTGTGTTTTTTAAAAAACTGTGTATCATTTGTAGAGAATATGTGTGTATATTAGTTAGATTTTATGGTGGATTTGGTGAGTTTTCTAGAACAGTCACACAATTTTATTCTTTCACATCCTCACTCAGATATATTTCATTCTCACACAAGTCACAGAGGAGAAATAGGTATAGATATATTTTTATTTCAGATGTAAAATTCATACCTCACTTGTAAGTTATGCAAGGAAAATAAGAAGCTTCATTAAACAGAATTACAAGTTGTCTGCAAAAAGTGATTTGCAGTTTGGGAGTACTTCCCTTTGAAATCATTAAATCTACACAGCTAAAGTAATTTTATCTCCTTGAAAAACTCCACTTACTACCTCATATTGATGAAGAAAAAAGTGAGGTTTTTAAAATATGTTTCCTAATGACCCAGAGAACAACAGGTTTCCTCTCTATTTACCATGCTATACACTGTAGCTTACACAAAAGAAAATTTTAAAAAAATAGTTAAATGCAATTTAAAGGAAATACTCTAAATACATGAATTTCAGAATAATCTCATAGCAGCTAAATGAGACCATTTTCATGGTTTATAATGTCTTCATTTTTTCTCAGAAATACACATTACAAAAAAATTCCACTTATCGGTTCTATTCACCATAACCATTTTTCTTCCATGACAATGGAGCAAAAGCATTTTTGTCACTGATTTTACTGGAAGTAGGGCTGAAGGGCAAATAAGAAACAATGGGGAACAAGTATGGCACCCTCATGGTGCCACATAAAGTGCACGTGCACAGCTATCTCATTCCCACAACAGCAGCTGCAGAACAGTATTGCACTGTACCAGCACAAAGCTGGAGAAAAGACAGGGAGCACTCTTTACCAGGAAATGTAATGATAGGATGAGGGGTAATGGTTTTAAGCAGAGAGAGGGTAGATTTAGATTAGATATTGGGGAAAATTTTTTACTGTGAGGGTGGTGAGGCACAGGCACAGGTTGCCCAGAGAAGCTGTGGATGCCCCATCCCTGGAGGTGTTCAAGGCCAGGCTGGATGAGGCTTTGAGCAACCTGGGCTAGTGGAGGGTGTCCCTGCCCATGGCAGGGGGGTTGGAACTAGATGATCTTTAAGGTCCCTTCCACCCCAAACTGTTCTATGATTATGTGATACTTTGGAGCTGTGTTGTGATCAGTAATGGTTAATGAAACACTTGCCCTGATGTGGCACCTGTTTTGCAGCCAACAGTCATAACATAATCATATTTCATGTAGAAAGAGGACAAGTATATAAGGAGTTTCCACCTAAAGCTGAACCCAAAACAAGAGACTTGCAAAATCTCTAGAAAGTCCCTCAAGAAAAAGTATAAATTTGAATATGAAAGTGAAGTGTGCAATTAGAAATAAAATACAAGAGCTAATAAATGGAAAAAAAAAAGAAACTAATATTGTTATCTGTACTACTTCTAATATGTACAAACAGCTATCAAAGTATAGCTAATCAAAATATATAGCTGAAAAATGAATATCATTAAGTGGTAGGGCTTCAGAGAGTTTTGTTAGTGCATCAGAGACAAATATCCTATTTAATCTTTGTGTTTAAAATTTAACAGGTATAAGTACTTGTATCAGACTAAAATGGAAGTTCTTTTAATCTTCTAATTGAAAAGTATGTAAAATAGCTTCTATCAGGAAGCAAACTTTATAAATTAGACCCATACAAGCTTCACAGAAGAGTCCTCAAACCAGATATATAGGACATCAAACTTTGAAATCAGTCATCAAGTAAGTAATTTAAGAATAATAGCGAGCAACCTATCAAGCTTCTATGGTGACACAGTAGAGGGAAAAAAAAGAGATCATATGATACACACTCACCATATGATCCACAACCATCTATAAAAAGAAAAAAGGTATACATGATTGGAGTGCTGAAGAAAAAAGAGATCAGTCTGTTTTGTTTACTAAGGAAAAAAGGTGATTTGATTTCCATACATGTATTTCTTCCATGGGGGACAGTGATAAAGGACCATTTTGCAAGAATAGAGATGTATTGAAGAGACTATGCCTCAGAGATTAATCCACACACCCTCAAAATAAAGTCTTTCATCAGGTTAAGTAGTCAGTGCAGCACACTGATAAGGGAAACAATGATTGTCTCTTTCTGATATATGCAAATAAATAGTGCATACCATTCCATATGAGACTATACGTTGGCCAAGAAACAAACATTGTGAAGGTAAATATGTTAGTAAGCTCAATGAAAACTCAATTATTTGTGACATTCAGGAGATAAGAGCAGAGAAAACTTCTGATATCCAACTACAAGTCTGGGAATTTTCTGAATGTCTGTAAAGTACTGGAATTTGGAGCACCTTGTCTGGACATTTGAGTACCACTGCACTGACTCACAGCCTGATTTTAACTGTCTGAAGCGTATATAAAGCTTTTACCCATGAGTGGTTACTATGTCTGTATTTGTTGTGTCTCAAAGTGGACATCCTGAAATACTGAGGGAAAGGTGTTTTTTTAATGTGACTTCATATAGCTAGGGCAAGTGAAATTTAGCAAATGATGGCAGAAATTAATAGAAGCTTTGAATCTGAGTCTGTGCTATGAAGTACTTTCCCCATCTAAACTGCCACAAGATCCAACTGTGTTTTTAATTAGGCTCAGACTTGAAAGAAATTTTAAAAATACAAAATATTTTTTGAAAAAGTGTGAGCAATTACAACATTTACAATGTAACAATTACATTTTCTTTATGATGTCCTCCAAGCTTCTTTTGGAATACCTGAAGCAGTCTAGTTTTCGGCTCACAATCAAACAATTTATAACTACAGTTCTTTTTTTTATATTTTTTTTCTTTTCTTCCCCCTTAGGTATCCACTGCCATATTCAGACAAATGTGTGTCTGTACAAAAAAGCCCAATGCATGCACAACAATTGATGAGTGCTTGGGCTAAAAAAGAAAAATTGAATGACTGCAAACACTACCTAATCCATTTCTTCCCTCAGTATGAACGTAAATGGCACAGTTTCCACATAGACCTCTGCGGAATAGCAAGATACAGGGAAAACCCTTCCACTCCCTTGAGGAGGCATGCAATGCCTGTGAGGCAGACGCAGTAGTGCCATTAATACATACTTGTTATACAACCAGTTTTGTCACTTAAAGAACATTGCAACAGAAAAGGTCTCCAAAACTTTGATCAACTTAATTTACCCCAGACACAAGGGCAGTGAAATCCCCCACCTAGAAGGACCTATCACTTACTGATCTCCTGAACTGCAGTTTCATTACAGGAAAATTGGGAAGTCTTGGAATTTGCTAAATTCTTCCAAGTTTCGAAGTCTTTATTTTCTTTCACCTATTGAGTGAAGGTGTTCAGGAGTAAAGCACAGAGTGCTAAAGAAGCTCTAGAGAGAGCATTTCAAGTGATTTACTTGATCTCAGTGAAAACTTGGCCTCCCTTGTGGATGAAAGAGACACATTCCATGTACCAAACCATTTTTTAAGGATTCCCTACAGAAAGCGAGGTATATCTAGCATTATATGAACCTTAATTGTGGTTATGTTTTATTGTTACTTAGATTAAGTGTTTAAACTACCAGATAACAGAATCTGTATTCTCAATAGTGGAAGAGTGTTAACAGTAATTTTGCTAAATATTTCAGCCCTGTTCCAACAATCTCTTGGAGGAAAGTTAATGGTCATAATCCAAGTAAAGCCCGCCTGAGAAAATCCCAAGCTGTGCTTGAAATACCTAACGTGCAACTAGAGGATGCAGGGATGTATGAATGTAAGGCTGAAAACTCTCGTGGAAGAAATGTCTTCAGAGGACAACTACAAGTGTACAGTAAGTGCACTCAGTATTATCCAGCAATGCTTTGCCCACACTTAAGGCTTTAACCATATATGAAAGATGCTGAGGTCCAGTAGAAATGAAAAATCTTTATTCTCAAATACAATTAATATTGAATTAAGCTATTTATTTTTATTTCTTAGTAATGCATTAAAGTCTGAATGATAAATAAAGTTAACTCCTTCAAAGAACTGGCTTAAATACAACTTCAGGTTTGATGTTTGTGGGGTTTTTGAGGTCCTTTTAAAGGGTATTGTTATAATTTTTAAAGTCTTTTTTTTTCTCTTCTTGTGATACATAACAATGACATGCAATCTACGCGTGATGTATCTGTCAGAAAAAAATATTAGAAATGTCTTAGGATCTTTACCACAGTTTTATTAATGTTTCATCCTTGCTATGCCTGGGTGCTGAGTTTTGTTGAATTCGTTGTACAACAATCAGAGCTGGAGAAGGGCTTTTGTTTTTGTAAAAAATTCTCAACTTAGGCATGCACGACTTCTGAATGTTTGAATTTTCAGAAAGTGCTGAACATTTTCTCCTAAGGATGAGTCTTTCAAAAAGTTTTTTGAGTGAACATAAAAAAAATTAAATCATGCACCACATTGAAAAGAAAAAACACAACCTGAAATTAAAAATATTCAGTAAAAATAATGAATTCTCTATAATATTGCTGTTGAATCCTAGAGACCAGAAACAAAAGCTTATAGAAGACACTCCCTGTATACTTACAAGTCAAAGTTTTCTGTATATTGAATGTATGTTTGAGTCCCACCTCCTTTTATCAATTAGAATGACATCACTTGCTGTCATTCCATGAATTCCTACAACCTTAAACATCTACCAGGAAAGGTCTACTGCAGGAGATCATACAACAAATCATTCAGACTCTGAATTGCTTTCTGTCTTCAAATATTGCAGCCAGTCGAATTCCAACTGCTGCAGTTTAGACAGTTCCTCAGGCTACTAGATAACTTTAAGAAGGAGTCTCTCCTGTTAACCAATTTTCTTTCTCTTTTCTTGATTTAAGGCCGTGGTTCCTAATGCTTTCGCCCCATTACTAACTACACTCAGTTCTCTCTCTTTGTTAGCACTTTTATCAAATAACCACAGACTGGCGTCATATATTTAGTTTATTTTCCATGTATGTCCATATTTGCAGGTCCATAATCAATTTTACTGACTCCTTCAGCTTTCCAATGTCCTTATCTTAGCTCCCTTGTCTTTGGTATCAGCATATCTCTGGATGATGCTTCTCTGCTTGCTTTTTGTTCTCATCTATCTAGAGCAAAAGGCAGGCTTTTGTCTTCAATTTTTTTAGTATATGCTGGAAAAAACATGTGGTGGCAAAGGTAATACTTTGCATCCTTTTTTCTGGACATGCCATCCATACTGCAGCCTGCACGGCACCTTCTGCAGCCTGAGGTCTGCACTGCGGCCTCTCCCTTCAGCAGCTCCGTCTGGGTGGAGGCATTGGCCACCGCTGGGGCAGATGGTGCAGCCCCCCCCCCAGCTGGAGCTGCAGCCTTCGCTCTGAGACAGGTGCCCACCATCCTGCCCTGAGGGTCAGGCAGGATGAGTGTCCTTCACCTGTGCAGATGGTCACAGAGTGGTGCCCTGTTGCTGGCTTAGTGTGCACTTCAAGTTTCCCACTCACCCTGCCCTTGAAGAGGTGCCCTCCCCTGTGAACCGCCGCACACACTGCTGCACCAGGCCCTGGCTGATGCCCCTCGCCCTGTTTGCCCGTCCTGGTCCCTGCTGCTCCCCAGGGCTGCCTTTGGTGGCAGTGGGGGGTGGCTGCCATTACTCCTGGCCCTGCCCACACCATGTGAGCTGCCCTCATGAGAGCTGCTGGCTCCTGGGGAGTCTCTGTGCTCCCCTGGGTTTTCCCTGGCTCAGGAAACCCCCCTGTACCTGTGATCCCCCGGTTCACTGTGGGATGCATCTGCACCAGAGCTGATCGCCTCTGTGAGTGCGCCTCTGCATCTTCATGCCTCCTGCTATGCCAATAGCCCAGAGATATTTCTTTGCTAGTACAAATTTTTACTGTCAATTACTTCCATTAAAATATAGCAGCTCTTGCTAGGGACCTGGGGGCTAGGGGCATTTACCAGCATACCTGGTCTTTTTCAACAACATTTCTTAAAATGTCCGAAATTCAAAAAAAAGAATTAATTTGAGTTACAAGGTGTACCCCGGTTCCTACACTTACTAGCTGTTTTCTGTAGCTGTGAAACTACTAGATGCCAAAGCAACTTATAACGGAGTTATAATTATTTCTGCCTTCCTCTTTCAGAGTTAAAGGAATATAAAAGGTGCTCTTCAAGAGAGAAACTAAGATAATGGAAAATTAGGGTGTTTTTTTTTCATCAAAAGCACCCTGCAGACCTGTGGCATAAAATCACAGCAAACATGATGCTGTGTTCTGCACAACTCTGCCTCTCTCATTAGCTTGGACAGATTTTTCGTTTGAGCAGAAATAAAGATGGTACTCAAAACTAGGAGTCCATCAAAAATATTTTCTACATCAGTTTTATTCTACTCTGTCCAGTAAAAAATATTATTTTTTGTTCTCCACCGTTGTAAAAATTATATTTTTTACAGTCACTGCCTTTATGGATAGCGCACAATTTGTGTTAATTGGCATTTTTTTTTGCAACAATATTAGAGGAACTTCTTTAACATTGTAGAAAGTCTTTCCACTTTTTTTTTTCCCTTGATTAACAGGTATGTGAGACTAATGTAATATTAAGTTTCTCTTAAGTCTATTATTGTAATTTAGATTATCTTACAGATCAGTCAAAACCACATCTGAGTCATGGTTTCACCTATCTGCATTAGCAGGGAGCCAGGTCAGAGCAGGTAACAGAGAGCTTCTGGATGGAGGAAACCAGCAGTGACCTGCAGAACAACAGAACAAGAAGCACAAACCATTACTAGCCCCCAAGTGCTTTTTCTTGGCCTTGAGATGAAATACACCCCAGTGAGCCTCTCGCAGCCTTCACTGCTCCTGAAGACAGCATTAATGTCTCATTGGTCTGCAGACCCTGACAACCCTTTCCAGAGGCGTAAGAGGGTTTGGGTAAGAAGGTTCTTAGCAGTGCAAAATTTAGCCAAATATTACTTTACAAAATTCTCAGCTTCCTTCACTGACAGCTGATATGGCAGGATTTAGGGGCATTACTTGAAACAGCATTTCCTGCTGTACCTCTTATTCATAACAACAGTCAACATGAATTATTTAACTTTAAGCTCATTATCTTTTCACTGACAACTTATTCCTCCAGGAGACAGCGATTATTTTGGCTCAGAAATTCAGATGTAGGCCATCATTCCTTACCAGGGGTTTCCTGTAAAATTTCAGAGCAGGCTGTAAGACCAGCTGTGTCATACCGCAGTCTCACAATTTGCATATCTCTGTAGGAACTCGCTTGCTGTCTGTTTGAATCTTCTTCATTTTGTCAGTTGCATCTGATCTGGGTCACCACAGAGTGTTTTGGAGGAAGCCCAGGACACCCAGTCTGCCCGCCTGGTCAAATTTAATCACAAACTAGTGATTTTTCATTTCTTACCTGGTGCTGCAATCCAATGATTTTCTGATGCAGCTGACGCTTTGGATGCTGTTCAAAAAATGGTATTTCAGATGCTGACAATTTCAGATTGTTTCAATCTCAGCCCTTAGTGGAAATTCAGCTGTAGAAGTGGCAAGGGCATTAAAAATAAAATTCTGATAATGCAAGACATCCTGATATGCACTGCAACCTATTTTGAGAGGCATCATTTTTCACCAAGTGATCTGCTCATCCTGTAAGTTTCTATAAATTTTATTCAAGTTCAAAATGATTAACAGAAGAGAGCACAAAAAAAAAAAAAAAAAAAAAATTGGATGGAGAAATTGATCATTAACCTCTTGTGATCACAGTTCCTCCACAAATCCTGACTAGCACCATTTTTCCCAATGGTAAGCGCTGGTTTGTGTAATTACTGCTCCTCTCTTACTCTGAAGCTCTTGGGTTTGCTGCTGTTACGTACTCACTAGTGTCAGTTCAGCAGAGGATTGTAGTGCGAACCAGACCACAAACCCACTTTTCCTTTGGCTAGATCAGTTCCCTGATCCTGCTAACAGCACTGACCCATGAGCAGCACTGCTGCCACAGCAGGAGGGAGTTTTGCTGTAACACCAGAGTGGAACAGGCAGCTGAGGGCAGGAATATTCTGTAAGGCAGTGTAATGGACCATCCTGGTTTTAAAAAACATTTTAATAACGTCCTTATATAAACTGTATGGAAGAAAATACACTGCTGTCACTACAGGTTAGCCCCAGATATATGTAGTAAAACTGGGTAGAGAGGAAGAGATTTTTGTGGTCAGAATTGCAGCTTCAGTTGAAATTTGCTATCTTATCTTTCTTGCTGTGATAGCTGCCTATTATTCTCCTACTGTAAACTTCTCAGTTGGCCTCATGTCCAGAAAATGAACTTTACTCACCCCAAACTCTGTTCTCATTCACATTTTAAGGTAATATCCAAAGTAATTTGTCCATGCAAAATATTGTCTTTTATTTCCTTTCAGTCAAAAAGTTGCTTAATAATTTGAGAAAGTAGGCTGTTTTCTGCAACTGAGTTTCGTTTTGCATGGAGGGTATAAAATCTGGCCTGTAAGCTTGCAGATTTACTGCCAAGTTGTGTTTGTAAAACATTCTGACATCCTTGAATAAGCAGGTGCAGAAATGCAGCATAAAATAAATCAAGGATTGGATGGTGATTTTAAACTCTCAGGAGCACTGTATAAAACTATGGCACCATATCCATGAAGACTACTGAATAATAAGACATCCTTCTGTTCTTGCATTCACCCCAAAACACTTCACTGGACAGATAAAAACCAGGCAAACACTATTTTTCCCAAGGTGAATGTTGCATTTATAAAAAGAAAAAAGAACCTGTTACTTTTGAAATCTGTTTAAACGCTTCTTAGAAATTATATTTTCTAATTAAAATTAAGTGCAATTATGGAATGAAATTTTCTTTTCCCACATGTATATCAGAATGATGTTAACACATTTCTGTTAAAAAAAAAATAACACATGGAGTCAGAGGTTGTACATCTAGTTAAACATTTCACTTTTAAAATTATTGACATGGTTTAAGAACAAGTGTTATGATACTATGGAGAGTGACTCTTCTAATGAGCAGAGAGGGAAATCTGTGGCAAAGTAAGGAGTACGAAGAGAGAGGAAAGGAAGCCAAAAAGTGATGAAATTATTTATCTCAGTCATGCATTTATCTCTGCTGCTGCTGCATCTACCTGTTGCTTTGCTGTCTTGTTCTCTAAGGGGTGGGAATCTGAGTCATTACTTTGGCTGATGGCAAGTTCAACAGCTTGAACATCATGAATCAAAAGGCCATTTAGGCTATGAGGAGAAAATTTAGGTTAGGAATACCCCAACCAATGAAAAAAGGTTGTTAATACCAATTGATCACACCACTGTGATTTGCAAGTTTGTGGTTACAGAGGAAAACTCGTGCCATGACTATCAAGACAGCCACAGAGAGAGGGCAGGGACTGGCAGTTGTGTACTGAGGAGAACACCTCGGCAGCCATGCCTGGGGAGGGAATTTTTTTGTCAGTGTAAACAGGTGCACACTCTAATTCTGAATGCTCTGGTTCATAATAAGATCAAATCCAACACAGAAAAATGAGACAAGATATGCTTTGGGTCATACAGTAGAATTTTCAGAAAAGCAAAATAATGAAAAGAATGAAAGATGAATAGAACAGTTTAGTATCTCTTTGAAACTGCATGATTTTATGGCACCACCGGCTAACTTTTATGAATTTTTAGCTACACATTTAACTCACATCATCCAAAATTGTATTAGCTTACTCATTTTCAAAGGAAACAATTGCTTCTCAGCATGCTGCCTTTGTGCATACTGAAACACTCAAAATGACAACAGCATCAACTATACAATGCAATCAAATTACATTTTTTTAGGACAATTAGTAGACAACAAGTGAGCAGGGACTGCCACAAACTGTTTCTGAGGATTTAATGGGACCCTTTGATACAACTTAAGAATCAAGTGATTCAGCGCAGCGGAGCACATATGGAGCATGTCATGTGTTGCCTTGACTGCAATAAGTAGAATAAGAACGCAGATGTTTTTGGTCTTGGGTTTGGAAGTGAGGTTGGGTCAATCTTATTTCTGTTTTCCTTTACTAAAAGAAGAATGAGTGATTCTTTTTCTGATATGTTTCCAGCTTCTGACAACTGTCTGGTCAGAAAGTCTGAAGCAGGCTATTCTCTGCTTAGAAATGACAGACACCTCATTCACTTTCTTTGTCATCCATGCACAAGATGTAAGCTAGAAGCAGTTAGTCACCTGTCACGCCTTTTCATATCTTTTCACGTCTTTGATTGGTGACCTGTCAAACTCCAGCTAGATTCAAAGATTTATTTTTAAACTCAGTTCCCCATGTTTAAGTATGTTATCAATTATCTGACGTTTGAAGAAGAGGCATTGTGATAGGTCTGGACATATCAAGCAGAAGAATTTTGCATTCCTTTAGCAACCAAGGCCTTTTAGTTACTTATTCTCTACTATTTGGAAAAAAAAAAAAAAAAAGAAAACACCCCGCCCAAAAAACAAAACCCAAACAACTAAACCCCAAAACATTTAATATCATTAAATTAATTAATTTAATTGACCATCCTCTTTGCTACACAAATTCATGTGACTACACTATGAAAACTCAAAATCAGGCTTTTAAGTATGCCTTTTTTATTTCTGCATAGGGATGTTCAGTTCCTCACTGAGTCAAACAAATTTTTCCATATTATAAGATGCTATATATAGCTATCCGAATGACTACTGAGACCTGCTTTTCTGCAAAAAAAAATATTCCCTGCTTTTTTAACAGTTTATTACATTAAATTTAAGTACTAATGATCACATATAAACCTAACAACTGTCTACCTTTAAAAAAAGACTGTTTTAACATTGACTTGCTACGTAATTTATGTTCCTGAAGAATACTGGAAATCTTGTGTGTTCTGTGCTTAAAAACATTAAAAGCATTTTCTCCCTTGAAATATGAACTAAACCTGAGACACTCTAACAAAAAATATGTGCAAATACCTTTCCAAATGCCCAGTCATTCCTAGCTGAATAAATCGTGATTTCCTAGTAAATGGAGAAAACGATATGAAAAAGTCTATGATGATTGACCTCTGTACCAAAATTTAAATAGCTTAGGTCTTGAAATGTTATTAAATATTCTATTGTGACTACCAAGAAAATATTACTAAATTCAGTAATAATGAATGTCTTAATACGTAGTACTGTAATTTAGTCCATTGGATTTTATTAAATCAGGCAGATTCCTATTCCTGGTCATGATACTGCTCACTGCTTGGCACCATTGAAACATTTCCTTTAAAGTTACGAAGTTTTGTTAATTTTACTACTTTCTTTTTTAGTTTTGCTTGTTTGTTTAAATGTGCTTATTTCAGATAGTAAACTAAGCATTGCAAAGGTCATAATTTAAGCTCTTTAATTTATTAGGTCTTTGTCTATCAGCTAGAGACTTACCAGATTATACACTTTGTACTTAGCATGGTATTTTTTTCTTGCAGCCTACCCCCACTGGGTGGAGAAACTTAATGATACTCAGTTAGACAGTGGAGATCAGCTCCGATGGGAATGTAAAGCCACTGGAAAGCCAAGACCCACGTATCGTTGGCTGAAGAATGGAGTTCCTCTCTGGCCACAGGTACATTAGATGAGAAGTCACCAGTATGTTGCATGTTTCTCCTTTCATTCAGATAAAGTCAGTTAGAAAAAGCACTGAAAAGTACTTAATAAATAAGTTTTTTCTGTTAGTTTCTTAAGTGTTAGAATACAGACATTTGATGCATGTCCCCTCTGAACTATCTCAGGCAATGTAAAATTATATTCATCAGTAATTCTCTGTAGTTCAGAAATATTTCGGAGATGGGACCTTCTGAGCTGTGTCTGCAACAGCATATGCCATTGTACTATAGTGTCCATCTAAGCAATCTCCAGCATGGTTTTGTTTTGGTTTGTTTCTTTTTTTTTTTTTTTTTAGGTAGTGGTATTATGCTATTTGTCTCTGGTTTTTTTTTTTTTTTTCTGCATAAAAAGATAATAAAACTCAGAGAAGTGGTGTATTTCCTGAGTCATACGCCTTCATGTTTCCCCCCAATGTTATGTAATGTCATTTACTACATTTTATTTGTACATAATCATACTCTTCAAAACATGAGCAGGCTAATGTAATAGGCAAAATGGATACTATATTTTCATCAGTTTTCAACTCTATTAATTCTCTCCAAATAACAAAACTCACTATCAAGACCATTAAAATGCTTCATGCAAGACTCCTAGGATGTAAAGTCCTCAACTACCATCACCTGATAAACTTCAGAATTAGGTCTAGATAAAACTGTCTTTCTTTTAAAAGACCACTCATGTCATGGCCTGCATGAAAGCAGCCCACATCATGTGGGTTCTGCCTAGCACATTTCCAGTTTTATAGTCTCAAATTATTTGGAGTAAAGAAAAGTTTCGTAGATTTATTTCATGCATTTTTCCAGGTTAAAACACAGCTGTTCAATTCTCGGAGAAAAGGCCTCCATTTGTAAATGAATTCACAGAAAGGATTTATGAATATAAAAGATGTCTTTCTTCCCAGTGAATGTTGCTTCTATCTGTGAACATCATCCAATTATGCAAACAATGAGGAAGGAAACATAAACACAGTTTACTTTTGAAGCTGTGAGACATTGAAATAAGTTTATATGCCTTTACTTTATTCATTTCTGCCTTTTTAGATGGCGATATTCGTCCTGAAATTCAAGCAATTTATACATCTGTATTTTTTTGGTTTTCTGATTTTCCAAACCATTAGTTGCACCAGGCTCTGAAACTTCAAATTAATTTTCAGTTTAAACAGGAGCCTTACAACAGAGAGAAGTTTTTTCACAGATTCCTCTGCATTCCCAAACACTCTGTTCTTTGTCAATTTTTAATTAAACATACAAGAACTGTAATAATGAAACTTAGAGATGTTTTATAGCAATTCAAATTATTCATAATAGGGCCCCATGAACTACACATTTCCATAAACAGCTATTAATGTCCCTTCTCTTACAGCCATGGTAATTATTTTCTACTAGTGGACCTTTCAAATAAGAAATTTGCAGTAATGATGAAGGCAATTAGATCCTTTCACTCTTACTAAGGCAAACAATCTTTTATATCTACTTTTATGAAAATAGTACCATAACTGAAACCAAACATTTGCTAGAAATGTGAAGATCATCAGATATGTTATACCCGCAACTGACTTCTTGCCTCACAAAAGTTCCCAGGATGAATTGCTTTTAAAAATCAGGTAAGGGTAATAGCAGACAAACAAGCAAACAGACAAAAGCAAGCCTTGGAGGTAGTGAACTTGCAGTGAAAAATATTTACCTTTAAAAAATTTTGGAGCTTTTTCTGCCCTCTCCTGTGTGTTTTATTCTTGTCATCCTTTATATAACAAGAAAAAAGTAAGTCCAAGGAAATGTGTTGCTCAGTATTATTTTAGGTTAATACTGTCTTTTGTCCCTTTGACTTAAGCTAGTAGCACAGCAAATTTCCAGTTCCTGTTTGCTTTTAAATATTATATTTTTTTTTATTCCGTTACAGAGCAGGATTGAGATGGTTAATGGTGTTCTGATGATCCACAGTGTAAATGTCTCAGATGCTGGAATGTATCAGTGCTTAGCAGAAAATAAGTATGGCACCATTTATGCCAGTGCTGAGCTGAAGATTTTAGGTGAGTATTATTTAAAAAGAGCAGACTGTTCCTTTTTTTCCTTTTGATAATTAGATTTGGTTTTGGTCTCTTATGATAAGGAACGGCTTCTGCCAGTCTAAACTTAGCAGAGCAAATAAAAATAGGATCCTTTTTTTCTTGTTATTTATGTGTGAGTGGGTCCTTTGTTGCCCGAGATAGCATAGGTCCTTCTGTTAAATGAAAATTTTATTTCATAAATTACTGACTCAGTTATATTTTGTGACTATTACTCATACAAGGCTATTTCAGTTCAAATACATGGAAAAATATTATTTTACACCTTTAAAAATAAGCACAAGAGAAGTTACTTAGAGACGGTAAATATATTTTAGTCTCTGTTAAAATTAAATAATAATTTATACCAAGGTCATTATTCAAAGGTAATTAAGGATGATCTTAGTTTTAAAGGTGTAAAAATTTACCACAAAATTACCAGAACTGACTGAATACTGGAAATGAGCTAATATCATCCCACAGTAAAGCAAATGCACTATATAGTGTTACATGGAAATATAATAATAAATACGTTATTCAAAAGTTGAAGTGGAGAGTTAATGAAGAAGAACTTGAAGTCTGTTTTTCCAACAGTCTAGTGTTCCTTAAAGCAAACTGTGGTAACACACAATGGGACAATAGTGATAAGAGCACTTCCACGGGGTTAAGTGAGGCAGACTTGTAAGATCTCATGATCTCTATATTAGAGTATGGTATAGCTGGAAGACAGGTGTCTGTCAAAGTTATTCAATGGCCATATCAGACATCAGAGGTCTCTGCACTGCTCAAACCTTGCAAACTTCAAATTCTGCACCTGGGAATCACTCTTGCAAACTCCCACTCAAATGAACACTGAAGCTGAAGTTACTACTACATTTGAGCTAAGATTTCGTTCTTCTGAAGAATAACATATCATCCACTACATTTCTATTATTTCCTAGCTGGCCAACATTAGAATTTCACTGATAACTCTTTGAAATATTTCTGTCTAGCCATAAATTGAGTCAGTGGCTGCTCTGTTTCCATCACTTTCCTTTGTCATTTTGTGATTCAGCCAGCAAACAGATCCCTGTTGGTTACAATATTCTCTTGCTCTGTTTTTTATATCTATTATAAAATAAGTATACCTATTATATCAGGTGGTTGTACAATTTCTTTGACGTTCTCTAACATTGGAAATGGCCATTATATGCTGCTGCAGTAAAATCAGCCTTTCATTTTGTCACTTGTGAAATTGTACCCCTGTTAAATTTTAACCATAATGGTGCATTAAAGAAGCGGTTGTGTTTAATTTTCTGGATTATTAAAGGGAAAAGAACAGAATAAATTGTCCTTATAAATAGCTATGGTATGAAAATTGCCTAAAATAATAGTAGGAACTTCCTAGATATTTGAGGCAATGGAGTGTAACATGTTTCTATATGTGTAGCTGAGATAGTTGCAGGGGTGGGGTTTGGTTTTGCAAAACTAGTTTACGAAAAACGCAAACAAATTAGATTACTTGAGAACAACTGTCCTTTCTTGGTGTGAAGTTACAGTAATTAGTGTCATTTTGTGACACATTTTTTACCTTAACTCATGTACTGCAATCAGTGGGATTTCTTGAAAAGTGAAGTACTAAGACCAAGACATGGTTAAATGTCTTCCATTAAATTCACAGTATTCAGAAAAATATAAAAAAGGAAACCAATAATTTTTTTTCTAAGAGTAATACTTTTTGTAACAATTAACTCTAGATAGTGCATTTTGAATAGTTGTGTTTAATTTTTTTTTTTATTTTGAACTAGTTACTTCTACCAAGTTATCTATGAAACAAAACAAAAAAAAAAAATGGAAGAGATGTAGCTAAATCAACCACAGAATTTAATTTCTAAAGCTGATGGATTTCACAAGCAATCTTAATTTTGTATGTTAATGTGAAGGACATCTCACTAATTCATAACTGGAATAAATTATAGACCTGCCATCTAGTTTTGGCTGCTGATTTAAAATATTTAGTAAAATTCCATCTAATCTGAGGTATAACAATTTCCAAGGCAAAGCCAGAGATTCTATCCCCAAAACCAAATCTATCATTCTGATCTTCTATTAGAATGTACTGAAACAGGAAGCTGTGATTTTTCTCTGTAGAGTTAACGTACTTCTTTTTAACAGCTTCAGCTCCCACTTTCCCACTAAATCAAATGAGGAAAACAATAATTATTACCAAGGGCCAAGAAGTTGTCATTGAGTGCAAGCCACAGGCCTCTCCAAAGCCAACTATCACTTGGAAGAAAGGAGACAAAGCGTTAAGGGAGAGTAAGAGGTCAGAAGCCTGTTCGGTAAACTAAATATTGTGTTTGCATGTTTGATTCTGTGATATGATAACATACAGCAAGTGATGAGAACATGCATATGTTAGCATGAGTATGGCATAATTACCTTGTCAAGCTGATTTGTCTGACAGCAGTGACTTTATTGTTTCTACAATATTGAAATGAAGAATCTTACAATTGTCCGGAGATGCAGACACATGAAAATAAGTTGTTATTATTTGGTGTTTTTTCTCTATTTTCTGTTACTTGTTTCAAAAATGCTTCAGTTACCACTGTAGAGATACTACAAATTTGGTGTGTGAGACTATCAAAAGCACAGAGTCTGAAATAGCCAGGACCACATAAAATATCAAATGTGCTTATTCATTTGGAATAATTTTAATAAGGCAGATTTGCAACTTCATTACAATGGAAGTCTGTCTAAGAATAGCTTTTAAGTGATTCAGAAAAGGAAAATATTATTCCATTATAGGATTTAATTATACAAGTCATTTCTGTACACAGCAGCACATCTGTTTAAGAGAATATGTTTGATTAAATAAGTTCTGTCCAGCTCTGTACATTAAACATAGTTTAAGTACTGCAGGTTAAATGCCAGCTGTAATTACACTTTACAAAATTGCATACCTGTGCACTAGAATAGTTTTGCCACCCTGCACATGATCTTTAAGTACAGAGAGTAATCTTATCTTCTTTCTGGTAATGCATGTGAACAAACCACTTAAACTGACTTGTATGGCATTAGTCAAAAAGATAAAAACAAGGCCTTTTTGCTCGTCTATGCAATACTGACAAAAGCAGTAAAGCACATCTGTCCTCATTAGCTGCAAAAGCCATTTCATTCAGGTGAGTTTTATTTTTACCTCATGCCATTTGTTTTGTTCTGAGAAGGAAAAATGGGTAACTTTTCATGCCATATTGGCTGTTTGAGGGAGCAGAGTGAAACATCATTATATACATTTTGTTAACAGGTATGAGTTGTATAGTACATATTGACAAGATATGACAGAATGATATCACAAAGATAACGATAATATTGACTATTCTGAGACTGACACCTCTATGCTGTAGCTACACAGATGACTGTTCTCACTACACAACCTTTTCCTCTCATCTCCACAAAACTCACTATGGTTGCTCTGATCACCACACATAAATCACAACTTAATCCAAGATCAGTAAAGCATTCTGGTAAATACTTGATATCTGTCCAAACATAGCCTAGCTCTGAAGGTAAAATCTCATAAAAATAAGATCTGGAGTTACATTTTTTGTATTTGTAGCTTTTGATACTTGCTTATTTTGCCAGATGCTGGAAGGGGAAATGATGAAACATGGAAGGAAAAAAGGTGGTTGAACTAGTTCAAACCTTTGAAAGACTTGGGTTGTGTTCGACTTAATCTTTTGTTACCTGTTCAGGGAATATCTTGTGTCATTCAGAGCAGTTCCCCTACATCTACCCGCTTATAGGGGGTGTGGGTGAGGGGAATATCAGTTTCAAGGGAACTCAGTTCTGCCTCTATATACAGCATGCTTTAAACAAGAATAATAAAGTATTTGAGAAGAAGAGATGAGGAAGGCTATTGTGATTTTGGGAAAGAAAACGTAAATCAGTTGTGGTAGTATGTGTGTTCCCATGTTTTGGGAACTCTGAGAAGGAACCATTGGAAGAGAACTGTATAAAACATTTTTAAAAAGCAACAATCTGACATAATTTGATGGGTACCTATATACTTTAAAAGTGGGCTATCTTCATAGACTGTTGATAAAAATCCTAGCACAAACAATTAGGAACTGTCACGTGATGAGTTTGCATAGGATGTTAAACCATCAAAGATTAGAAGAAAAACCCAAAACCTTATGGTTAAATAATAAGGAAAGCAAGAATAGAACAGCTCAGTTACCAGCTGGGGTTAACCCACAACATCAATATTTGAAAGGGACTACATATAAAATTCAAATCTCTTTCATATATTATCTCAGTGAGTCGTTAATACATTTAAATAAACATAATTTAATCAGCATTTTCACCTAAAAGTTAAGAGGAGGGAAAGAAAAGTTGTTGTTATACTTCTATTTTGAAATTAGAATGCACCTGAACAGAACAGCAATGGGAGTTGTGTAGGTAGTGGAACACATTTAAGCTGCATATTTTCATTTGTCATCTCACAGTAATGAAAATTATTAACTATCTTTACTAACCATTTGTTTCTGGACTCTATTGACTCATAGGCTGATAGATGACTGTGTGTCGTTTATGGCAGTCTGTGGTAATGTGTATTCTGGTTTTTCATTTGAACATTGAGGTTTTTAGTCCATAAGAATTTTGTAAAGAACTTCTGAGTCTTTCAGTTCATAAATATTTTTGGTTTTATAGAAAAGAGGATTATACTGGGTTCCAAGTCTGAAAAAATATGTTTATGCTTTGATTTGTAACAAAATGTTTGGTTGGAACTTTGATTTAGGACCTAAATAGGAAGAAGTGGGTCCTTGGGCAAGAGTACGGTGATCAACAAATATTTTTGTGAAGTTTCTGAAGTATTCCAGTCAGATACTTCTTAATCTGGAATCAAACTCTAATTTACTATTTCAACATCAGCTTCTAAACAAGACCCAGACCCAGATTATTCAGATCAGAAAGCCAGTCAGGAACCTGCTTCTAATTAAACATTTTTGAAACTAATGTATGAAGCTAAAATAAGGCAATAAAAGTGATATTTAATAACATTATTTTATATAGACAGTAAACTTTATAATACATAGTAGAATAGACTGGAATCTGCTGTCAGTTACATCAGTATAAATCATGAGTAATGCTAAAAAAGTTAATGAGTAAATTTTGGAAAAACATTTTCTATAAATTCTTTCAGTTTCTGTGTTCAGGCTTCTGTAAATTGCAGGTATTTTCTAATCATTTACTACTGCACTAATTTTTGTGAGTAATTACTCCATGAGCTGTAAAGTCTGTTTCATCACTTTCTTAAAGTCACCTACCTTTCTTGTCTAGATTCCCCTGTAGCAGTAACTATAGCTGATGTTTAAACAGATATGCTTGACTAGTCATAGGTATTAAAAAGCATTTTAAGTCTTTTTTCATCTGTTTTTGTTCTTTTTCCTACATCTAAAATATTATTCTCATTAAACTTATATTGAATTTTCACTCTAGTTCATTATTTTCTATTATACATCTATTAATTACAGTTAAAACAAAACCAGTCAAAAGCACTGTAGCAGTGCAAAAAGTTCTATTCAGTCTGTATTTTTTCTTCTCCATTCAGACCACCAAGAAGTAAAAAATATAGCACAATTTAACCAACAAAAAGGTGACTGTGGAAGCAGGGGTTTTTTAGTGCCAATTTTGTGCTACTTTATTTTGCTTTTGTTCCTTTTTCTTTTGAAGCCTCTCAAATAATAATGATTATTTTATCAATGTTTCTTGTATATCTCAATTTGTGTGCAGATTAACATTTAATCTAAAAAAATCTAGATATGGTGATGTCTAAACATATATGTATGCATTAGTAATATAGTTCTGTATTTTTATGGACTGCTCCCTTTCCGTATGGCACAGTCTAAGCTTTCTCCTTCACAAGACAAAACAGGCGTTGCAGAAAAACATTAACAGTCTCTGAAGTCAGATTCTCAATAGATCACCATAAGCATAACAACAGTGACAGTCTCTCTGCAGAGATTGTATAATTGCTCATCCACCTAGGTCCATGGCTAACTTTGCCTGAGGACCTAAATATATTAAGCATTCTGTAAGGAAAATAAATGGTAACAACACTCCACCTGGCACTTCAATTCAGCCACTTTTCCTATGGAGCAATTAGTTTCCTGTATTCCACTTCCGTCTGAAGGACTTCTGGAGATAAGGGGAAGAAAACTTTTGGCAGGTTAAGCAGCAGAGGGAATTTTAGATAGTTTGAATGCAATAGCCTGGCCTGGGCTTGGCCAGGACACAAACTACAACATCCCTGTTCCTTCAGTAGACATCTTGGTGGGTTTTTTATTGATTGCAAGTGGGTAAAACCTCTTCATTCTCTTTTGTCTGAATGATATCAAGGAATCACAGAACAGCTGAGAGTGGCAGGGACCTGGGGACACACCTGGTCCAACCCCTCTGATGAGAGCAAGGTGAGCTAGAACATGTTGCTCAAGATCATGTCCAGCCAAGTTTTGAGTATCTCCAAGGATGGAGATACTGCAGCCTATCTGGGAAACTTGTTCCTATTCCAGTTAATCACCCCTACAGTAAAAAAGAAAAATATTCTTAGGTTTAAATTTAATTGATGTCCAAATAGCATTGGCTGTATTTCAGTTTGTGCCCATTGCCTCTTGTTCAGTCACTGGGCACCACTGAGAAGAGTCTGGCTCTGTCTGCCATCAGTGTGCACGTCAGTTATCAGTGTGTCAATCAGCTAGGAGGCTCTGGTCTATAACAAATACGGTCATACATTGAATTAATATCGATGCTTCTTCCATGACACATGAAACTCTCCATTCAGATCTACCCCAAAACTGCTTGGCCTCCAAAATTCAGAAAATAAAGATGTCACTTACTCATACAAAACCTGCCCACTGAGTATTGCCATGTAGCAAAATTACTGTCTGCTTGACATGTTCTTCATTTACTGTGTGCCTCACCTGAGGTCGTTTGGACTGAATTGCAGCCATAGAGAAGCTGTACACTGAACAATGAAGTGCTGGATATTAATAGCAAGTGCTCTGACAGTCTGTTTGACAAATAAAATTAGTGGATACTGGAAACAGGGAGATAGTATTTGTGAAGCTATCATGCATTAAAAACGTGGAAAAATATTAATGAGGAAATTCTGTCTTCACGGTCATGTGGATATAAAATTTCAAGCAACAAATTAACCTATGAAGAACAGGAAAACACTGAACACCTATTAAGTGAGAATCATCGTCTATAGGCACTAAATGAGGAATAAACCTGTTGGAGAGGACAAAGTGTTCAGGCTGTGTG